GTAAATTGATTGATGATGGCATCATTATCAAAATATCCTCCAAAACCCACTTGAATTGATCCAGAAGCTGATCGTTCAATATATTGAATTCCATCATCTTCTAGTAATTCAGGATACTTCTCCACAGCTGCCTTCCATTCATCTTGAGAAAGCTGAAAGAAAGGATTATTCGGATGTGCAATTAAAAAATCCGAGACCATCAACGATCTTCCTCGACCTTTGTTGAAAAATGTTATAGTATCATCTGAATAGAACCAACGCTTTGCTGCTGTTTCCCCACTTCTAAAACATGATTCGTCGTGAACTATAGAAAAGAAAAAAATTACTATCTTTTTAAGCTATTAGAAAAGTAAATCTTTACATATCAGAACCGTTGGACTTTTCTTTGGTGTATTCCATTGCGGATCTTTCCCTTCTTCAAGTCGATAATATTTGTCTTGATTCGTTAGAAAATTTTGAACAAATTTTGTGCGAGCTTCAACAACATCCGGTCTTTCATGACCTTCCCAGTAAGGCTTAGCAGTATTCCTATCGAATTTGCAACCCCAACGTTGTAGATCAAGATGACAAGCTTTTTCTGATCGAATTAGTTGTTGCGTGTTTTTGACCTGCATGAAATATACAACAATACATAACTAGACGGTAGAAGAAGTAAGAGATATAACATCTGAGAGAGATTTATTTGAAATTTTAAAGAAACCTCATTTTGTGCTGTTTTTGAAAGCAAATCTTACCTCTTCAGTTACTTCATAATATTGATCATCTAAATATTTTGCAAGTTCCCAGCAAGTAAATGATGCTGCCTTTCTTTTGCACGCCTCTACGGCGTATAACTTGGCCAAAGATTCTAATTCAGGATAAATATCAAAAAAGCTTTCCGTATGTTTACCACCTCTATGGTCCTCCAAAAACTCTTCTAAATCTTCTTCAATTAATATTCTACTCCATTTGTTACAACTTTCAGCACTGAGTCCACCAATATCTTTTAGAAATGAATCAATTTTTTGCCAAGGAATATCGAAACACATTAATGATAAATGAAGTAACACCGATAAAGATCGTAACGAAGTATCTTGTTTTATAATTTCAAATAAATTTCCAATGTCCAAAATATTGATATTATTTTTTAAAATATCTTTTTCTTTTTGATCGTCATCTGCATCAGGGATATTGATAGAAATTTCCGGATTAAAAACATCGCCTGGTTGATCGATATTTTTTTTTACCCAACGACTTCTGATAGCTGCTGCTGATTGAGATCTTCTTTTCGATTTTTGAGGCATAATGATGAATAACAAGAATTACAAGATCGATTGATTATAGAAAATGAAACAGATAAAGCAATTTTTTAAAAGAAGTTATCTCTCTGTATTAATCATAGGTTTTATGTTGACCGATGCGCGTGCCTATGGATAGTATACAAACGAATAGATACACCAAAATATCTATGAGAGACTGTTCTGTAAAGAGGCCGCTAAGTATTGATACCATACCATATAGCACAGAGGATGTGAAATGCGCTACTAATATTTGAAAAGTGGTTTGATATACTTTCTAAATGACTAACATAAAGATCTCTATCATTATAAACATAAAATTTCATTAAAAGAGAAAGAATAAGTGAAAAATGCTGCTAAAAATGAAAAAACACATGTATGACAGGAGACGTCGCGAAATATCAAGGAAATTTTGAGAAAGAAAGTGAGTTAAGGAAAGATAATACGTAGATTATATCTAGGGCATCTAAGGAGTCGAACGGTGAAAGAAAAAAGTCTATATCTTAACTAGAAAATGAGTTGATGCATTTTTAATGAGACTCACTCGACCAGTCGATTTGTGAACAGAAATCAATTTTTTTAATGATAAAGATATGCACTGAGCGATCAAAAAGGAGTGTCCTAGAATCAGTTTTCAATGCTGAATCAGGGGGGAAAACTTTCAAAGTTATAGTAAAGGTTTTCGAAACCCTATCGTCAAAATCCTAGTCGAAAACCTGTTTTTTTTAAATCTTCAGTTTTTGCAGTATTTTTCGATTTTCAGCGGGAAGAAAACTTTTTATCTAAATAAATCATACATATTCGGATGCAGCGCATCAAACTGCATCGGATTTCATAAAAAATTCACAAAAAAAATTTTGCTTGAGTTTTGCATTACACCAACCTTACTTATCCACGTACGATGCAAATACTTAAATATAAGATTGATAATCATGCAACTGGAAAATTAAGAGAAAATGAAAAATTAAATGGTGAACATGAAACTTATATTCTTAGTCAATCAACAGAAAATCATGGAAAACTTGATTATTACATATTTAAATGTTTTCAACAGATTCAAGAAGCAAGTGGATCCGATGAACTACTTCTTCAATTTTGGTTTTATAGAGCAACAAAACATGATTTAAAAAAATTTGCACAAAATGATCCATGGGTTAAATCAGGAATTATTAAAGATTGGAATATTGATTTATTAGTTTATACATCTGATCCTGCAGATAAAAATCAAAATTCTCGAAGAATTTTCAGAAGATTATTATCAACTTCAAAAACATTTCTTCATATGAATATTTCGAACTAATTTCAAAATGTATAATGTTTTTTTTAAATGATATATAAAAGAAATGATTTATTTCGAGTGATCGTACATGAGAAGGGTAGATATTTGTTAAACCAAAATAGAGTTCGAAAGGAATTTAATTGTTCATCAATATGTTCTCCATTCATTTGCTCCTATATTTATGTTCACCGACAGATGTATTTGATTAATCAACTTTTAATTGGCATAGGTTAGGTAATATTTTATCTTTGATTATGAAAAACGAGGCGTTCGATAGAGTTATCGATGTTGTTACGAATGATGAAGATTCATTACAAAGATTGTAACGAAAATCTATACAGTCTGTACATCAACATCATTGATAAATGTTTAAGCATTTGTGTTATCATATGTAAAAAGAACATTCTTCACAAGTTAAATACGAAATAAATGTCGAAAGATAAGATCAATCAAATCAGAATATGCTCGTGACTCGTTAGAATTGACGATGATACATTGATTGTTCACGATTTTAAATAAGCGAACTGATGTAAAATAAAATTACAGAAGAACATAGTCGACATATGATATTAAAATCATCGTTAGAAGCCGAAATATTTCAAGGAAGAACTCAATCATTCTTTCTTAGTGTTTGTCAATTTTCTAGAGTCATGCTTCCATTCATCAGTAATATAGAGAGCACTACCATCTTTGGAATGAGCATGGATAAAACGATGGTATTTTTCTGAGCAATCCGGATCACTGCGTTCTATTGTTCGTCGAGTAAGATAACTGCATAAATCTCTATTCAATTGATTCACTCCTTTCGACATGATTACTATAGAATGAATGAAAATACTTCGTAAAACATAAATCAAAGTAAATGAATCTAAATTACTTGGCTCTTTTACTTCATACACATGTGTCATCTGCTAACTCTCTCATGTAGGAAATATCTTTCTTTCCTTCGTTTTATCATACGACAGATAAAGTATATCGTAATGTATTTTTCTTTTCTCGTTTTCTTGACTATAAAAGGACTATGACTCGTAAGATGAATATCAGAGAATGTTTTGTAAATTATTTTTTTGGTAAATATAAAGATCAGAAATATTCTTTTTACAAATCAAACAGTAATTTCGACGTGTATTGACTGTATCCACACAGGGATACTTTTTTCTATTTTATAAACTGTGAACGACAAAAGGAAAACAAAAGACTCGTAGTTTTAATTTTTACGCCTTATCACTTTACTATCAGTAATATGAGATAGATATTATTAAGCTAAACTCTCAATCCGTAATTGAAAATGTTACTCAATATGTATTTGTTATATAAATGAGAAATACTGACATTTTGTGAGCCATTTAGAAATCACAAAGCTATGATACCAGTTGCAAAACGACGTAGTTTTTGGTATTTATCATTGAATGATATCTTAACTATATTGTGTGCAATAGCTGTACCTATCGCTCTTGGTATTTATACGGCAATTACTTATCAACAAGAACAAGAACAAATTGATCGAGCACAAGAATTTAATTTACAACAAGCAACAGAATTAAGACGAGATTCAGTCTATGATCAGCTTCTAAGTAATATGTATAGACTGGATAAGGATGGGTATTTAAATGATTCACAAGATCCATGGGCATTTGCTAATGCTTATTATCGTACTGCACATCGTCAATTAGATCCTACACGTAAAGCAGATCTTTTACAATTTCTCAAAGAAAAAAAGTTGGTTGGTAGAAGTAATTGTACTGCACAATGTTTAGGATTGAAGATAGTACCGGATATAATTCGTTTAGAAGAACTAAATTTTGATTATGTAAAATTAATTAGTCAAACGGGTTCATTGAATCAATTAAAACTTGATTGTGTTGTATTTAATCATGTATCATTGATCGGTGCAATATTTTTATATTCTAATTTAAATGGTGCATCTTTTGATCATGGACGATTAAATAACGCGAAGTTTTATGATGTATCTTTGAAATGTGCTACTTTTGATGGTGTAGATTTACACGGAACGGATTTTGGAAATGCAGATTTAACTGGTGCACACTTCGCAAATGTCGATTTATCTACAGCTAAGTTAACAAAACAACAGTTAAAACAAGCATCTTTTTATAACACAATAATGCCAGATGGAACCAAGAGTGGTATAACAACATCAACAACCTCAACGTCATCATCAACAACCTCAACTTCAACAACCTCAACAACCTCAACGTCATCATCAACAACCTCAACTTCAACAACCTCAACATCATCATCAACGACTTCAACTTCAACGCTAACAACATCAACATCATCAACAACATCAACAACATCAACATCATCAACAACAACATCAATGAGCACTGTAATAACTACAGAAATGTCATCTACAATCATCGGTAAGACATTTTATGATACAATCATATTGAAAAGGAAAAGTTATTTTTATAAATTGTAGAAACGTCAACAATAGCAAAAACTATGCCTACAACGAAAAATCAATATCTTACGACGCAAAAACGTAAGAAAAATACCATTTTTTTCTCCTTGATCTGTTGTTCATAACACGATGAGAAGTGTCTTTCAATCCATCCGGATAAATACTTGAAAAAAGCTACCCTGTATTTAATAGCATTCATTGAAAAATAACACTAAATATAATCAATGATAGTGCGCTTTCAATACTTGTTGAGAATGTTTTCTATATATATATATATATATATGATAAAAGAGCTAGCTATAGTTAATTATCTGTGTAATTTAATACGAAGAAATAAAATCTTTTAGATTGTACAACCGTGATTACTTTCGATGATATTCCTGGACAATCAAATACTTCTGGTGTTATTCCTAATAGTTATAAAAATTTCACTTGGATGAATGCCAATTATATCAGTGATTCGATATTACCCATCAGTGGTGCGTATCAAAATAAACGACATAGTCGGCCTTTTGCCATGTATCAATCAATTGGTACTAATTTGACAATTTCGACGCTATTAAATTCCAGTTTTAGACTTTATTCTGCCTATTTTGCTACTGACTGGCCACATCCTGCTAATATTACGATACTTTGTTTAGATCAGGCAAGGACACATACAGTAACCGTTCAGTTTTATGGGTTAACTGCCGGTAACCTAACTCTGTCTTGTATATTCAATACATTAATATTTGTAGCACAAGACGTAGCCTTTGGCAATAATTCTGTCGTGAATAGTACAGGATTTATTGTTGATGATGTATGCATTTTTGAAGTATAACAAACTATATTATATTTGGCATTCTTCGACTAAAATATGTGTAATAAACAATACATACCTAGCATTTTTTCTTTCCAGTCTTTTCAAAATAAAATCCATGCAATATTAAAAACCATGTCTTATATCACAAAAAGATAGTTTCTTAAGGATTTTCTTGAAATTTCAAGACAATCCTTTCAATAAAGAAGCGAAAGCTTTTTATTACTGATGCATTTACGAGCGATAAAATTAATTCTACATCTATTTTCTTTACCACTTAATTGAAGGAAAATGAAAAGTTTTTCACCAATCATTTTGATAAAAGAAATATTCAAATTTAATTAACCCTATATCCAGGCGTATCAAATGTAAATTTTTGGAAATCAGAAGGTTTTGTTTAGATATTCAGGAACGTTTTTTTATAGCTTTTACTACATATGTAACACTAATATGAGACTTTGCTCAAGTCTTTTTAATAGCAAGTATGTTCTACACTATTACTGAACTCTCCATGTATTTATTTTGCTGAAATTGACGTCATATCTGGGCTTTATCAATCCAACTATACTTTGATAATAGCATTGATTTTCAACATATATTCATACTTACGGCATACCAGAAGTAATGGGGCCGACCTTGTTATTTTTTACAGAAGCCTTCTGAAGTTTCTTTTTCTATATATTCTGATAGACCAAGTTGAACTCTATAAATCGATGATATTCCATAAATCTTGTTTCCAGATTATAAAAGCAAAAGTTTTGATACTGTGAAACTTTTTCCCACTTTTTTGAATTTTTCCTTTAACAATGGATACAGGGTGTAAAAAAACCATTACGCCACTCTTTCCATACCTAAAGGCCAAATAGTATCCTTAACAATTTCATACCTAATCAAAGCGCGTGAAGAGTCGCACCTGGGGATATAGTCAGAGCGACTATAGTCCATAATATTATTACCATGGTATCTTCGACACATTATTTTGCCATGTATTTCACAATCTAGAGAATCTCAAAAAGTTGTTTTGCCGCAAACGAACTAGAGCTGCGACTCATTAATTTTTCAATTTGTTGAAACAATTAAATGTTGAGAAATACATTTGAGAAAAAAGTTTCATGACTTCGCATGATCCTCCCGCTAGTCGCAATCTGTGTCATTTTCAAGATCTTTGAGCTCATTTATTAGATTAGTTTTGAGTGCATCGTCGTAATTTTATAAAGTATGCCTGCTTCGACTATACATCCAGATGTAACTTTGTCACAGACTTTCGCTCGTTTGGTATAAAAGTTTTGATGATACTATTTGGCCTTTAGGCGTGGGAAGAGGGCGTAATGGTTTTTTTTACATCCTGTATCATCTATTTTCAAAGTAAAAATGGGAAAATTTTTTACAGGATCAGAACTTTTGCTTATATAATCTGCAAACAAGATTTATGGAATATCATCGATTTTTAGAGTTCGACTTGGTCTATCAGAATATATAGAAAAAGAAACTTCAGAAGGCTTCTGTAAAAAAATAACAGGATCGGTGCCACTACTTCTGGTATGTTCTAAAAAGTAGGTGGAGATAGAAATTAGAGAGATGTCGTCTGTAACAACTGTATTTATAATTGACATATATGAATAGCTCGTTGAACAGAATGTATACTGTTCATTTTTGCTTTATTTTGTTCCTCAGAAAACTCATTTTTATGTACGATGACTCATTGAAAATCCCAGATTTTTCTTGTCTTTAACTTCTTTATTTCAGTAAACTGACAAGTCGTCGGATTGAGATTTTCTGTGTAATGTGACAGATACATAGAAAAGCGAAGAGAAACAGAAGCTTTGAAATTGAACGACAGGAAATGGATTTCCAGAGGAACTACTTCAAAAAAGCAATTTTACAACAAATTTTCGCTTTACTCATATATAGTTTTGTTTATTTTACTGAAGTTTACAAAGATTATTTGTTATTCATAAAAAAAAAGATAAACTAAAGCGCCCAATCAAGAACAAATGATTTTCATAAGATCAACAGTGATGCGAAACATTATGAGACCAGATGCATAACTCACACCTTTGGTTCTCTTTTTACATTATGATAATATTATTTGTAAAAATAAAAAATGAAAGCTTTCAAATTTTATTTTTGTTTTTAGAAAGATACTTTCATTAAACAGAAAATTAGTAAAACCTGACCATCTGCTCCCTGAGTCAGTATCTGTTAGTACTAACGAAGCATAAGCAAAGAGAGACATTTCAAACGCTGAAATTTGATCATGTAGACTTGTTGATACCTTTTAACATCCATTCTTCTCGTTGATAACTAATCATTTTTCCTGGTCGGATGGTATTTATACTTCTTGAAGCAGCGACATTGACTCATTTGGCATACGAATCGTTTTTATCAAAGTCATCTGATCATCCCAGTGAATATTCATCGCTAAATAAGAGCCATCATAGCTACATACAAGGAGGAAAAAGCAGATCCTTCCGTTTTTTTGAACCTACCAGATCCTCATAGACCTTCATGCATCCTAGAGCAATCTCATTGAATTGCACTAAATCTAGTAAAATTCAATCTGATTTTTGTATCTAGAATGTACTTTGTGTTTATTCGCTTATTTAGTGGAAAAAGAAATTGTAAGAAAGTGGCTCTCTTCAGTTTGAATAAAGCCGTCGATCGTATTAAATTTATTCTTTCCTTTCTTGACTGGTGACACATTTATGACAAATCTTGAGAGCGTTTTGAAACGTTTAGCAACCATATTGATAAGAAACGATCAAGAATAAATATAGAATTCAAACGAGAAAGAAAATGAGCACTAAATAGATTGTCGAATAGGACAGGCAGACAAAGAGAGAGCTAAATAAATATAGTCTTAAAAGTGCGTTAAATCTTAAAAAACACGCCATGAAATACGTTTCGTTCAATATCATCATTTTTCTAAATAATTTTTATTATAGAGATGTTCCTTTAAAAACTAAATGAACAATATACATCGAATCGTACAAATCGGTGGATTCCCAAATACCAGTTTCCATCGTATTTTCCATTCAGACGAAGCATGAATGCTCTCTAGTTTTCTTTTCCCAATCTGTTTTCTAATTCATACATGTAACTGACATGTAATTAAATTGAAGAAATAAAAAGAAGAGAAATAGCGGATATTCTATTGACAAATAGTTCTTCATATCTTTCGCGTAAAACCTAAGTACAAATGTACTTAAAATTGTATAGAAAGGTAAGAAAGACATATTTTGAAAAGTAGCTCTTTTTTTCTAGTTAGGCTTCAAAAGATTATCATCTATTATTCATGCTCAATGTGACTAATAGTGTCATCATTTTTTCTTTCATTTCTTTTCTTTTTATCTTCTTGATTACTCGCATATTTCATTTAGTTAGAATTACTAGCATTTTACACATTTAAATCATATTTTCATTCCCTCGACTGAAAGGAGGGTCATGTCGAAAAAAAGTGGTCAAAAAACGGAAATTCGTTTGTGTGTGTGTGTCTGTCGCAGGTCAAAGGTCAAAGGTCAAAAAAACATTTTTTCCAAAACGCTCAAAACTTCATAAAACATGGTTTGGGAGGGTGGTTGAGGGGATATGGTGAACTAATCTCGAAAAAGAAATCTCGAATTCTCTTCATAGTTGAAAATTTTCAATCTCGAAAGCGCAAAAAATCGAAAAAGAGAAATATCGAAAAAATTGTAAAAGCCATAAAACTTTTTACTGAACATAAGAGCACTTTTTTAGTGAAGTAACAGTTTATTTTACTTAAAAGATTTACTACAATTTGTGAATAAAATACACCTTTTGATATGAAATAGAAAAAAAATTAAGTTTTCGTTGCGACCAATAGTGTTAGTCCTTCGAAGAGCTCGTCAACTGTTATCACTTTGTCATCAAATTGAGATTGAAGTACATTAAGTCGCTGTTGAAAATCAGCGGTTTTCTTGTTGATTTGTTTCTTCTCTCCCATACTCAGCTTCAGTATAGCTTGACGAACAGAAACTTCTTCAGTGCGAAAGCACTGGAATAAATGCCATACGTTCGGGTGGAATTTTGATACCAAGCGATTGAACCGATGATTCCAGCCTTATCAAAAGAAAATAATAACTAACAAAATATTGAAAAAGTTATTTACCCTCCACATGATTATTAGTACGATGTTCCACTCCACAGACATTCCATAAACTCCAACGCATCTTTCTGATCCAATAGTTTTCAAAATAATCGATTAATGGTTTCATCACACGGGGCGCTGCATCAACGATTTTATCAAAGATATATTGTGTGTGATCAAGAGGAATAAATGGAAGCGTCATTAATTGACGTGCAGTGGAACGTGCGTGTTCGTCGTTACGATACACAGTGGTTAAATTAAGACACTGAATTTGTCTGATAATTGAATTGGTAAAATGGAAATGACATCCTATGTGTCGTACATTTGGAAACTAAAAATGGTAAAGATATCATTTGAAACAAAATAGGATGTTAATTACTTCTTCAGCTATCGTTTTAGTCATAGCTGATTCAAAATCAGTTGTTATTGCTGTGGGATGAAATCTCATTTGAAGACGGTGCGCATGATGAAACAGAATTGAAAACAATTCTTTATAAATGATACTGGACCGGCCACAAAGAAGAGCAATAACGCAAAGATGACCTGTATATAAAGTGAAAAAGAATTATTTTTATATAAGATAGAAATGATTTACTTTGATTATCTTTCATAGAATGTATCGAATATACTTGATCAAAATGCGATGGGCAACTGGCGAATGTACCGTCCATCATAACATGTGGTGATGCAAAAAGAAGACCAAGTTGTTCGTCAGTTGAATAAACTAGAATACGTTTTTCAACGTCTTTATAAACATCTTTATCAACATGTTGAACTTTATCAGCGAGCAAATAACGTCGTCCATCAATTGTTTTCTTATATCGTGAAGGAATATCAAAATTCAATGATGATGGGAGAATAGGTGTATTTTTTCGACGAAGTTTATCTAAACCACGATCTACAAAAAATTAGGTTTTGAGAAGCGAATCATTTCACATACTCGCTTGTTTAGCTGTATTCGCCATAGCCAGTGCAGTAGTGGAAAGATTAGCTCGAGAAACTTCTTCTGTGTAAATTTTACCAACGGCAGTTGTTTCACGATTAATACGATTTTTCACATCTGCTAACACCCTCCGAATTTCTAGCTTTTCAGGAACAGGCATATGTGTGTGATCGGATTTCGTGAATTTAATAAACGAATCATTACTGGTAAGATGAACACCCATATCGCACATTCTTTCTTCGCATAACCAGTACGTGACCTTTTCTGTTTTTTTGTTTTGTTGAAAAACATAGGCGTCGATGACGAGAAGCCGTTTTTTCTTGCTACTTGTGACGAATGTAATGGTCGGTGGTATGGTTTTAATAATGGATGAAAAGAAATGATAGTAGAGAAGCAAACGAACTATTTATATAGGATTCTAATAAGACAAATGACTGCACAAATACCTTATACTAACTCTTCGACGTCGAACTTGACGGACGAAGAAAAATTACATATATCACTCGTGGAAAAAGAATGGGAGCTGGATGAAGAAAAGAAGTATATTTAGTATATATTGTAAACAAAGAACGAGAACCTGGATGTGTAACTGAAATGTTAATATATATCAATACATATATTAAATAACGTTGGCCTCAACAATCAAAGCAAATAAAACAGTGATAATCGAAAACATCTTACTTGGGATGTATTTATATTTAAATTAGTCGCTATATAATCACAATTTTTCTCGTTAAAGTTTATAAAATAGATTTTAATACTTCATTCCTTTAGTATTTGATTTTGGAATTTGCAAAGACAAGATTTTTTCTAGATTACGGTTTCGGGATTCTATGTTTTCGAGATGTACTTTTTTCGAAATTCGTACTTTCGAGACTTCTTACTTCGAGGTTGTACGTTTTCGATAATTTTGCTTTCGACATTTTTTTTTCTAGATTATTTTTTCGGGATTTTTATTTTCGAGATTAGTTCAATAATTCGTTGAGGGTGGATGTTGACAGAGAGGGGTGCGGGCGGGGGAGGTCGGGGTCAAGGGTCAAAGGTCAAAAAAACGTTTCTTCCAAAAACGCTCAAAACTTCATAAAACATGGTTTGGGAGGGTGGTTGAGGGTGGATTTTCGTTGAAGAAAGCATCGAGATTAACTGTGATAGCGAAGTTGGGCGTAGGCCGGCTGAGCGCTCGCGGAGAACACTACACGCGTGGTATACATTTATGGGTGCTGCAGTGGCTACAGGTAATCGATGGAGTCGATCAGTAGCGATGCAGGCTTTGAAAAGATTGAAATCAACCTCGATGGTGGATCAGAGTGAAAGGAAGCGTGAATGAGAAGATATAATCTACAGGTTGACGTGTCAAAGTGGCAATGGAATCTATAAATGAACGACTGGAATGGAGAATAAATATTAGAGTAAAAAAAATTAATCAAACTCCTATTGCAGAAATCAGATTCAGTAACGTCTTTGCGTAGAAAGCTGCAACCGACGTAACCGTGTTCTGCAATGGAAAACCGGAACGATAAGGAGCGCAAGTGTCGAAATTTTGAGCATGTTGCTTTTTCTACCCAGTAGAATTTCTCCGTATGTCATGCGTTCGCCATAGATATTTCGTATTTGTCATCGGATACCCATGCTAATGGCATGTACTGAAAACGCCTAAATACCTGCACCAGAACTGCTGCTCCAAAAAAATGTCAACTATGGCTCAGAGAGCTCTTTAAGACCATTCCGTATCACAGTCGCAGGTTGCCGCAGTTGCAATGGCTCAACAGTCGAAACAAGTAATACCTGTATATTCAAGAAACACCCTCTCCTGTACAACTACTGCCCACTATGCCGGTCACCATCTCACACAAATGCATGAGAAACAGCGCAGATCCTGATTCGCATGGAACCAAACGGTCACTCATCGCTTCTACCACACCAACTTAAACAAAGACTACAGCATCCAAAAAATACCCTCAAGATAATTGGGAAAAACCAAAACTTCTTCAAATCTCAAACTAAATGCAATTCGACAACACAAAAGCAGATTCCTACATATACAGCATCAAAACTAAATCTTCATTCGTATCCACAGAGTAAAAACACCGATCCTCCCAGTTCCCCGCTACTCGATTCCATCAGCACCGCAAATACTTATTCAACGTTGAAACGAAGCTTCTTTCACTTCACAAACCATGTAATAGCCAAAATCATGAGGCTCAATATCCAGACTATATTCCCCTTACATATAAAAACCTACCACATCAATCCTTCCAATAAACAACATAATCCGAATTGACCATCAAATTCTCACCTCCGCTGCACGTATACGCATGTCGACCAAATCTAATAACATACCCGTGAGCCTTTCTCCGTCTCAAAAGAGAACTTCTCAGCATCACATCTCCCTCCTTCACAAAAACTACGATCGATATCTACAATCCATGCTAAAAGCGACCTCCCCATTAAGGTTCACACCCACAATCCATACATCTTCAACTGCGCATATCTGCGAACACGGAAGAGAGCGTTTCTCCCCCTCCCAATATGAGTTTGAACCATCGAAATACAGATTCTGACTCGGAATGAGCAGCTCTATTTCATGGAAAAACACCCGAAGCGATATCTACGATGGTGACCAACTTCGGATCCGAAATCGAAATTTTCATTTTCTCTGCAGCCGCACACATTCACATTGTGTGTCCGAACATGGAAGAGAGCATTTCTCCCTTTCGTAATTCCCTCGACTGGAAGGAGGGTCATGTCGAAAGAAGTGGGAAAAAAACTGAAATTCGTTTGTGTGTATATGTGTGTGTGTGTGTCTGTCGCAGGTCGCAGGTCAAAGGTCAAAGGTAAAAGGTCAAAAATAAATTTTCTTGAAATTACTCAAAACTTCATAAAACATGGCTTGGAAGGGGTTTGGAGGCTGAAAGTTGGTTGTGAGGGGTGGACACGTAAGGAGAGGTCGATGTTGAAAGTACGTTGAGATCT